GATTTAGGGAGACTCGATATAAGGATAATTCGATTTAAGGGAGGGTTTTTTGCTGCACCGACCGCTCCTATGAGAGATTAACATTATGGCCCTCGATATAAGGATAACTCTATTTAAGCAAAATTCGATATAAGAGACATATTTTACTGCACGCACAGCACTTTTGTACTCAATATAAGCACATTTCATTTTAAAACGGTAAATGAAAACAAGTTTTGTACAAAAGTGTTGATTAAAAACAGTAAATAAAACACGTTTTGCATAAAAGTGTTGATTATTTTCATAAAAACACATTTTGCCCTAAAAATGGCGGACAAAAAGGTCTCGAAATATGTTTTCATTAGAGATAAAGTATGAAATTATTAAATTAGTCGACAAAAAGTGTCCAAACCAAACAAAAATTACTGAATATATGAATTAAATATAACTTTATTTAATAAAACACAAATTTAAGCCTATATTTGATGTTTTTAATTAAATTTATATGAGATTCGATATAAGGAGAATTCGATTTAAGAGACACATTTCTGTTTCACCAATCATTTCCCTAAATCGAGGATAAGGTGTATTATAGTATAGTTTTTTAGGGTGACCATACGACTTTCTTTTGGAGATTCGCTCATTTAATATAAATTTAACATGATACAGTATTAATGTAACTAGTTCTCTCATATGGCGTCATATAGCACGTTACATTACAGTTATATGACATGTAAAGTGTAATATAAAAATTTTATATTACAAAAAGCGTAATATAGCTCTAGCGCAATTAGATTATTGATTAGGCAATTATGATATTATAATTAAGGCTATTTTTAAAAATTAATTTAAACACAATTAAAAGTGTGTTTTGTTAATCTATTAGTAAAACAAGTGGTTGATTTTATAGTAAATTTAACTATGATTTCTAAATAAGCATTATTCAAGCAAAATGTTTATTTTATATATTACACTAATATTACGTTATATGACTGTAATATGTAATATAAAAATCTATATTACATGTATTATACATCACTACACACTACGAATTATGCATTACGAACATGCGATAGCTTTCCTATCTAATAGAAATATGCATTGCATAACATAAAATAAATTAAAAGTAAAATAATTTTACATTTTGTGAATCATCTGAAAGACTTTAAGATTTAAATTTCAACAGTTTATAAATTCTATTACGAAAAACATTTCAATTACTATCTATATTTTCAATGTATGCTTTCTGGTCACTCTAAGTGTCTGCTAAGTTGGTACTCGCCATAAATGCTGATCATCTAAAAAAATATATAAGGATTGAGGTCCAGAGCTTTACATAAAACATGTCTATTTACTAACATTTTATTTTGTGTTATTTGGTTGAACTCTATCTCCCCTATTGTAACGGTATATTTGACTAAACATTGTAAGTTTATATGTGTATAATTTATTCTTATAGCATGCTCATTGGCTCTAATTTGGACCAAATATTTAAGCATCAAAATAAAGATTCGGTTACTTTATTGTCTATACGTTATACTTTCAAAGTTGCTAAGACTAGTGTTTAGAATATTCTAGTCTTAACAATATTGCGAGTATAAAGTATAGTAACTTATAAAGTAAACAAAGGGCTGACGTTTGCGAAGAGGTTTTCAAAGAACCGCTGGAATGAAGCGAAGGACTACTTCGAGGCCCAGACAGAGGCCGACCCATAGGTGTCGGTGCCGTACAGACCGTACAGACGGTTGGTTTGGCCGCTGTTTTACAGCTACCGGTGCTCTCGAAAGTCATTTCTATTACAGTCTAAGAGTTTTGTTTTTGTATTGAATTAACGTTTAATTAAAAATTAATGTAATTTTTCATTCAATTGATAATAAAATACTTGTTTTATATTTGAATAATTGCTAATCGGATGACCGAAACACTTAGGGATGACATGTATCATGCACTACTTTACCAATTCGGTTTAAGAATAGTGTTATACCTAACGACATAAGTAGACATTTCCATTGTTCCGATTAGGTTCAGGTCTTGTGCTTTATTTATTACAAAATATTTTTTATCGTATTTGTTTCCAATGGGTTTCACTGATTATATTAATTCTTATCAATAGGTTGTATTGAAATGCTGTTATAAATTTATATGACGCAAATTGTATTATTTATATTATAAGTATATTATATTATAAGTCTTATAATAATATAATTAAACTAAAATAATAGAAAAATAATTAACAGATAAATGTCGTCTTATTTAATATATTTTTAATAATTCTTTTATTTGTTTTATAATATATTAATAATAACTTTTATAATTATATTTTTGGTTAATATTTTTAAATTTTATAAAAATGGTTGAATTATTAAAAAAGTTTACAATTCCGACAAATATTAAGGAAAATATTACAAAATTACATATTTTTAAAGATTTTGAAAACAAATATAATGTATTATTTGTGACAAACGAGGATATGGTCTATGGTATGAATGTGCTCAACAACTATGACTCTATGTAAATCAATGCAAGTTTACATAGTAAAAACTCTCCCAGAGCTCTCTTAGCACATTCTTAGTCTATGGTTTGGGTCAGAATAGAAATGGATGTCTGGGTTTTGGACACAAAAAAATTGTGTTATTATCACAATTATGTCATCAAAACATACATTACTTTGTCAATGGATATAATTTTGTGTTAGCAGTGAGTGGTATGAATATATTATATGGTTTTGGTAAAAATGATCATGGACAATTGGCACGGAATTTAACAACAAGTATTGTAAAACAAAGTAGTTGTTATAAACCAGAGATTATATCATATTTTAATGATAAAAATATTGTACAAATCAATTGTGGTGGTCGTCACACACTGGCCCTCACAAGTGATGGTCGGGTCTATGCCTGGGGTTTGAATACAAGCGGACAAATTGGTTGTGGAAATTGTGATAACATTTATACACCGATTGAAATACAATTTCCTATTAATTATAAAATGCAATCCATTTATTGTTGTTATGATTCTTCATTTGCCATCACATGTAATGGACATGTCTTCAGTTGGGGTTATAATAAAACTCATAAATTGGGACACAATATAACTGATCAGAAAGTATTGAGACCCCGATTAATATCAAACGTAAATAATGTAAAATCAATGAGTTTTAGTCTTTTTGGGACATATTTTCTTACAACAAATGGATTATATTTTTGTGGAGAATATTATGAAAATAATAAAGAAATGATTGGAAAAACTCCAAAACAAATACTATGTGAACATCATTTCCAAAATATACCACAAATTCATTCGGAGCTAAACTTGGATTTTAATAAATTCTTCTGTGTTTTAATAAACGATAATATGAGTTAAAATTTTTCGTAAAGAGCTTAACTTTTTCATTAGGTTTAGTCACAGCTAAAGTCAAGTTTATCAATGATTGATTCAATGATTGAAATCAATGTTATAATAATAATTAAACTTAATGAAAAAGTTAAGCTCTTTCTGAAAACACATAAAAGATATATATAATATCAAAAGAACACAAAATAATTGAAACAAGTTATAAAAGTTTTATTAACATTTACGCCAATGAATGCCATATGACTTATAATACAATTAATTTGAAAGAAATCAATACAAATGAAAGTATATGTGAAGATAAAAGTAAAATTGACGAAAATGATAAAATCCAATGCAAGCAATTAATACAACCGATGGCCAGTCATAGCAAAGGTATTGTATTGTTAGTTAATAAAACAATTAATGGGAATTTATTTTCTTACAAAATATAATAGATATTGAATTATTTTAATTTGTTTCTGACATTCAATTAAATATATATTCAAAATTAGAAACGCGTTATGAAAACCAAGAGCATCAATCAAATTCAACTATAATGAATACTAATAAATCAAGCCATCATGATAGTTTACATCATGGTAACTATAAAACCCAATTCATTGAGATGTCAGCCATAGGTTCGGGTGGTTTTGGGACTGTATTTAAAGTGAAGCATAGATTGGATTATAAGATATATGCCGTTATAAGAGTACAATTTGGGGGTAAATTTAATGAATATTTTTTGCATTTTATTTATAAAACTTTAATTTTAATAAATGTTTTATAAATTATTTTTACAGATATTAATGAAGACTCAAAACAAAGAGTTCTCAGAGAAGTCAATAGTTTAGCAAAACTGGACTCAGATTTTGTGGTAAAGTATTATCACTCATGGCTTGAGTCCAATCATCTCTTCATTCAAATGGAGTTCTGTTCACAAAATCTTAAATCTGTTCTCAAAGACAAACCCATTGTTTTCGAGAGACAACCGGAAGAAGAGATGAATGTCTTTGAATACTTTATTTCATGTGAAATATTTAAGGAAATCTTAGAAAGTGTTGAATATCTTCACTCATATGATCCGCCAGTCATTCATCGGGATCTCAAACCAGAAAACATATTAATTGATCCCAACTTTAAGTGCAATCGTTGTGTAAAACTGTGTGACTTTGGTTTGGCCACCGATCACAACACCGATGGACGCATTTCCAGTCCATTTGCGCACACAGTTTGTGGCACTTTTGGATATATCGCACCCGAAGTACTTATGGGTAAACAATATGATCATAAATCAGACATTTATAGTCTCGCTATAATCGGTGAAGAATTGTTTGGTATTGATCTCCAGGAGTAAGTATTTTATCAACATTTACATGTTTAATATTCATATAATATTTACATGTATTGTATATATTGTATGAAATAATAGTTGGAAATTAATTGAAGCTAAAAAGTTGTCGTTCACGAAATGCATACAAAGCATATACGGGACACTTCTGGAGATGATGTCAACACCTTTTTGGCGACAAAGACCTGAATGTCGGGATGTGTTGGCCAAACATAACGAGTGGTCAATTGATAAGATTGTTGTCATAAAACAATGCAATTTCTGTCAAGTTTTAAATAGACTTAAACCTAATGAAAATTCAATTTTCTACGATATATTATTTCGCAAAACACAATAATACTGTAAATGTACAGGGTGGAGATTAATGGATTACCTCGTTTAGTGGTTCAGAGGCCGGTGTCTTTGTGCGGGGATCTCTCGGTAACCACAATAGTTACCGCAAAAACGATTATATTATTTTGTAGTTAAATAAACACAATATTTAATGTTATACATATTGTTTTCAAATAATTAATTAATTTTTAAATCGAATCAACATTTACTATTGATTTTATTGAACAGGCGTTAATATAATTGTTACAAATTATATAATTATTCTAATTATTTATAAATATTTTACTTAATAATAATTAACTTAATTAAATAATAATCTACTTATTAGACATTATTAATAACAATTGGTTAATTAAATTTATATAAATTAAAAACAACTAATCGCTAAATTTAATAATGCTAAAAGTAACATAATTATGATAATTGTTATTTATTCAGGTTATTTGCCATTACAACTATCACTACAACAAACACCAATACAACCTCCTCTACGAACTCTCTCCAAATTGTTTCCTATTATTTTGTAATTAATTATTTTTATTAAATTCATAACAAAAATATGTATTTGAAAATATTATGTTAAATATAAATTATCAATATTTGTTTGCATACCTTGTACAGAGTTTATCATGATTATTTGCATCATGCCAATAACAACCATTGCGATGTACAAATATTTAACCATGGTAAACATTTTTGCCAAATTGATTGTGGTGTATAATTATAATTAAGTTTTATTTTAATAAAATTTCTAAAACTTTCTACATTAATATTATATCAATTTGATTACTGGACTTTATATACATTTGGAATAAATGCTGAATAATTGAGGTTGATAATTTTTAAATAAATCGTATTTAATATAAACGATTTAGTTTTAATCATAATATACAATGTATAATGTTTTAACCAGTAAATGGCATCTTCCAAAAAAAGCTTTCAAAAAAGTTTTTGACTAGACATAATTTTTGTTGTATTATGGTATATTTTCAAACATTAATCACAAATGCAATTACATTTTGTTTACAAAATATTACCCATAAACTATTAAATTAATGCAACCCACCACACTTTTTTTCATAACGACATATTTGAATGAATTATAAAACTAATAAATTGATTATAAGGTATGTTGCCCTATAATGCGGGCAAATACACAGATATGCACACATTGACAGACTAAGGTTTTAACCCTTTTTATTATATTGCTGTATAAATTAATGACATACAAAAATTTTATTTTAGCATAACACTGTATAACACCATATTTATTAATAGTAAATTATTTAAATAAATTATTATTAACAGTTCATATGTATTATGTCTAGACTCGAGGCACACAAATCATGTGTCAAAATATAAAAGGGCGAAGACCTTCAGCAATTAACCGACAGCCTTATTGACCATAAAGATTTATTTTATTACATTTTAGACATTTTAAGCTATGAATATCAAGATATTATTGGTTTTTATGCTATAAGAATAAATATTCATGTTTGATTATAAACAAAATACGTATTTATATGTAAAATAAAACATTGTTATATTGACTTTGTTATTATGTAATTCGTTTGTCATCAAAGTTTCAAACATATATCTTTAACAGGTAAATATATTTAACTTAAAATTAAACTTTTTAATTGTAACAAAAAAAAGGTCCCGAAGTTAATGAATATATTGGCATATCATCTGTCTGTTTAGATCTGGAGAGTTCAAATTATATTAGCAATAATGTTAAATTTGCATAGAGCATGCACCTATTTGTACACCATTGAACCCCTATGGTCTAGACAGAATACATTTGAACTGTTAATAATAAAGATACTTTAGATACTGATATATCAAAATATATTTGTTGTAAGTGTCATTAATTTATATAGGACTAGAATAACAAGTGTTGAAAACTTATAAATTATGATTAGAACTTAATAAATTGAGATTACCAAGATCAATTATTCAGCATTTATTCCAAACGTATATAAAGTCCAGTAATCAAATTGATATAAGATTAGTGTAAAAACTTTCAGATATTTCATTAGAATAAAATTTAATAAAAATTATACACCAAAAGAGACTTGGCAGAAATGATTACCATGATTAAATATTTGTACATCGCTGCGGTTGTTATTTGTTTGATGCAAATGATGATGATCAATTCTGTACAAGGTATGCAAACAAATATTGATTATTATTTAACATAATTTTATAAAATATCAATTCATTATAAATGTAATAAAAATATGTTAATTTTCTAATAATAGGAAACGGTTTGGACAGAGTTCGTAGGGATGCCTGCGTTGGTCTTTGTTGTGCCAATAGTTGTAATGGCAAATAACCGGAATAAATAAACATGATCTTAATTATGTTACTTTTAACATTATTAAATTTTCAACAATTAGTAGTTTTTAATTTAAATAAATTTAATTCAATTAATTGTTATTAAAAATATCCAATAAATAGATTATCATTTAATCAAGTTAAGTATTATAAAGTAAAATAATTATAGTTAACTACATATATTATATAGAATATAATATATTATAAATTATATATATTCTAGATTATTTGTAACATTTATATCGTTTATTGAAATTGAATTTTAAAATAAAGTTGGTTTTGTGATTTAAATAATAATTTTTTATTACATAATCTTAATTAATAATTAATATTAATTGCTTAATATAAAAACATAACAAAATGTAATTATAAATAAACTGAAATCTAATGATAATTCGGTTTTCTGTAAAATTATTTTCAACACAAAATACATTAATTTATTAATTTAGTGTAAATAAATATTGTCTCATATATTGAAGGCAAACTTGTATTAGCAAATTTCACTGCTTATGAACGTTACAAAAATATTGCCAATTATTTCTGGATATAATTTCAACTCTTTGTCAAATATCACATGTAATTAAACAATAAATTTATTTATATAATTTATAGAAATTAAAAAAATTACGCAATAGTTAATAATTGAAAGTGAATATTTAAATTCTTTAGGGATTTAATCCATTTGATAGTTAGTCTCTTTATAGCCCAATGCAATTTCAGATATGGCTAGCGTTGCCAAACATTATTTTGGGTATTATTGTGCAAATTTTACCAAAAATTTTTGTATTTCAGTGTTTGTCAATCAAAACTTAAAATTTATACAATTTCCAAAAATATTATACATTGGTGAAAATTTGAATGTTTATACAATGTCTTTGTAATTAAGTTAATTATGGTTAAATTTATTTTATTTATAGCATTAGTTCAGTATGTTGGTATACAGGACTAACTTACAGGTCATTAATAAGGCAACCGCGGGGATGCTTTTTGGATGCTTTTTTCATAGTTTTGAACACAATAATGACTATTACAACTATTTGTTCATTTTAAAGCATGAGTTAAATACTAAATGTTATGATTTTTTTACTAATTTATGGCTTTTATTTAGTCTGCATATTAAATGACTCATATTGTGGTTGCCCTAGTCATTAATAATTACCTAGAAAATAATTATTAGGATCGCAAAAAATTTTATTTTAAATTTAAATTTCAATACATAATATAATTGTTACAAATTATCTAATTATTTTAAATATCCATATATATTTAAAAATATGTATTTTATAAACTTTATTAAATCATAACCTATTTATTAGATATCATTAATAACAATTAGTTAATTATATTTACGTAAATCAAAAATAACCAATTGTTAAATTTAATAATGCTAAAAGTAACATAATTATAATCATGTTTATTTATTCAGCTTTTAAGGATTACAACTATCTTCACAGCAAATACCTATGGTCTCTGGACCAAGACCAATGCAAACACCTCTACGAATTCTGTCCAAGCTGTTTCCTATTATTTTGTTATAGAATATTTTTGTTAAGTCTACAAGTAATCAATTTTTATATACCTTGTACAGAATTTATTATTCCAATCTGCATGACACATACAACAACCACAGCAATGTACAAATATTTAATCATGGTAACCATTTTTCCGATCGGATTTTGATATATATTTATAATTTAATTTAATTTTAATGAAATATCTAATATTATTTTCAGTAATATTAATTAGTTTGCTGGATTTTATATAAGTGCTGTGAAATATAAGTGAAATAAATGCTGAATAAGTAACCTTGATAATTTTTATATAAATTTTATTTAATATAAACGGACTTAATCTTGATCATAACTTATAGGATATTAACTCTTTTATGTTGACATATGATTTGTCTAGACAGAATGCATTTTTACAGTTAAACAGTAATACATGCCTAAAATATGCATAGGATTAGCATTGCCTTAGACATAACATTATCCATGCCAAAAGTATAGCCATAAACTTATGCTGTAATTCCATGTTAAATCCCATAGAACGGGGGGGGTCTGGGGTAGCCAAACGATCTTATAAACTACATTATTCAATGCTGAATTGTGGTTAAAAATTCCAGGTTGAAGAACATTTTGACATATGATTTGTGTGTCTAGACAGAATACATTTTAACAGTAAAGAATAAATAATGTTATACTAAACTAAAATTATTGTATGTCATTAATTTATACAGAAATATAATAGAAAGGGTTAAATATAAAGACATTATGCAGTAAAAACTTTATATTATGAATCATAATTTATGATAAAGAATAAATTGTTTATATTATTATAAATAAAATTTTTTGTATAACTTAATTATCAAGCTCAATTATTCAGCATTTATTCCAAACGTATATAAAGTCTAGCAAACAAATTAATATATGATTAGTGTAAAAACGTTTTGAAAATTTTATTAAAATAAAAGTCAATTATAATTATACACCAAACTACATTTGGCAAAAATGTTTACTATGGTTAAATATTTGTACATTGCTATTGTTGTTGTATGTGTGATGGAGATAATTATGATAAATTCTGTACAAGGTATGCAAACAAATATTGATAATTTTATTTAACATGATTTTATAAAATACTAATTTATTATAAATGTAATAAAAATATTTAATTACAAAATAATAGGAAACAGTTTGGACAGAGTTCGTAGGGGTTTATTCGGCAACGGGCCTCATTGTATTTGTTGCAATGATGAATGTAATGGTTAATAACATGTGATAATAAACATGATCATAATTATATTATATTCAATATTATTAATTTTAACAATAAGTAGTTTTTGATTTACATGGATTTAATTAACTAATGTTATTAATAATGTCTAATCATTATTTAATCAAGTTAATAATTATAAAGTAAAATATTTATAGATAATTAAAACAATTTAATTATTTGTAACAATTATATCATGTATTAAAATGTAATTTTAAAATAAATGTTTTTTTGTAAGTTTACGTTTCATACGATTATACAATAATTTAGTATGTTTTGAAAAATTATAATTAACTTTTGGTCATTTTGATAAATGACAAAACAACAAAAAAGTATAATATAATCATTTCGTTTTTAAACATTGTTCAAATAAGTTGTTATTTGTTTGAAATAATAATAAATTATGTTTTATTTTCTAATTAAATAAACGATTAATTTGCGGCAAAAATGAGTAAATTATTGACAAAATTTGCAACCATTTAATGATTTGATGAAAGAGTTGAGAAAAGATAAGGAATTGCAAAGAGTTATCATTTTGTTTAAAAATGAATGAAATGTTAGAAAATATCGCAAAATATTCATTGGATTTGAAAATGAATTATTTTTGTAAACGAAATAAACAGACATTTTGTTGAATAATTTGAAGTCAAAATACACACACTTAGAGATAATCTAAGACTCGGATCAGTTGTCGATTGGCAGACCAGTGGTCGGCCGCCAATCGCGTCAAACTTTGTCAACCGTTGCGGACAAGACTTGTTGTCAACACAAACAACGGTTTGAAACTCTGGAAGAATGTGACAAACATTTGGATCAAATTCACTACAAAATGGGTGTATTGTCTGCGAGAAGGACTTCACGGCTCTGTAGTCGCTCTGAAGACACCACAAGTGATGAATGTTTATGAAGTATATTAATTAGTAAATAAATTTTACATAAAAAACCATTAAATAAATAATAAGCAAATTTTAAAAACAAATTACAAAAAACGTATATAAAGTTCAGTAACCAAATTGACATAAGTGTAAAAAGTTTATGATATCTTGTTAAAATACAATTTAATTATAATTATACAACAAAATCAATTGACAATAATAATTGTAATTAAACTAGGTAGTGGTTCAATAAATTATGGGCACAGGTGTCATTGCTTTAAAATTTACCATATAGATGTTAACTACCAAAATTATATCCGTAAACTAGTTAAACATTTTGTGTAATATAATATTACTAATATTTAGTTACTAATATTTATTATTAATAAATTATTAATTACGACTACCGCACAAAAAATGCTTATCTAAATCACAAAAAAACTTTTATTTTAAAATTCAATTTCAACACATTATAAATGATAGTTACAAATCATCTAATTATTCTAATTAACTATAAGTATTTTAATTTATAATACTAATTATGATTAAATAATAATCAAATTATTAGTAATTATTAATAACAATTAATTAATTAAATTTATGTAAATAAAAACTACTAATCCTTAAATTTGATAATTTTAAAAGTAACATAATTATAATTATGTTGATTTATTCCGGTTATTTGCCTGAATTACAACTATCACCACAACAAACACCAATGCAAGCATCTCTACGATCTCTGTCCAAACTGTTACCTATTTTGTTGTAATGAAATATTTTTATTACATTTATAATGAATTTTATAAAATTTAGTTAAATAATAATCAATATTTGTTAGCATACCTTGTACAGAATTGATCATCATCATCTGAATCACGCAAATCACAACCACTGCGATGTACAAATATTTAACTATGGTAAACATTTCTGGCAAATCGATTTTAGTGTAAATTATAATTAAATTATATTTTAATGAAATATCTGAAATTATTTTACACTAATCTTATATCAATTTGGTTACTGGACTTTATATACGTTTGGAATAAATGCTGAATAATTGATCTTGATAATTATAAAATAAATGTTATTTGATATAAACTGATACAATATTAATTATAACTTAAAGGGTTTTAAACCTTTTATAATTTAATATAAATTAATGATATTTACAAACATTTTATTTTAGCATATCATTATTTATGATTAACAGTTCAAATATATTTTGTCTAGACAGATAAATGACCTACTAATTGTTTCAATATATTAACACTATCATTTGGTCAATACCCTATATTTAATTAAATAAGCCAGCACATTAAATATAATAATTATTAACATAAGGTGTATACAG